GTCTTGCGGAATGAATCTCTCTTCTCCGTTCACGAGCGCGCGCACGCGTGTTACCCCTCTTCGAGTCCGATATATCTCGACCGATATACGCGACTTCTTATATCGGCGAATCACACCGCTTCAACACCGCGCGCGCATCGTGCCTCGTCTAACGACGGCAACGTGTAACAAACACACGAGGACAGCCTCCCCCGTTCGTCGAGTATCAGCGGGGATGGGAGACGGGGGGGAGGGGTCATCGTTTTTCTTTTTTATTTCGCGCTGTCAGTTCCGCAGAGTCAAGAGGAGAGGAAGCACACGTTCACACCACGTTCACTGTCGCGCGATCGGTTCGACCGATCCGTTCCGGTCATCACCGGCGATCTCTCTTCGGCTCTCTTCGGAACGAGTCTCTCCCCCGTCACACTGTCACGCGCGACCTAGCCCTATCCGTCGTGGACTCACGTTGACGCGACTCAGACTCGGACGTCGATCGCGAGGGTAAACTCGGACGACCTTGACGACCCCCGCGGATGGATCTTGACGATCGGCGGCGATCCATGAAGCGCGGCCCGACGTTTCGACGACGGGCGAGAAAGAGAAAGAGAGAGAGAGAGAGAGAGAGAAAGAGAGAGAGAGAGAGAGAGAGAGAGAGAGAGAGAGAGAGAGAGAGAAAGAGAGAGAGAGAGAGAGAGAGAAAACCCGCGACGAGCTGGCGCGCGCGCGATTCAACGATCACCCTCGTTCGCAGTCACCCGCGGCAGTCTCGTGTCGTCTTCGTCGTCGTCGTCGTTGTCGTCGTCGTCGTCGTCGTCGTCGTCGTCGCCGGTGGTACCAGCTGCTCGTACGTACGACGTTCTGTCATGATCTTGTAAGCGTAATCGTGAGCAGAGGAGAGAGCGTACGCGCGCCGTGTGACGCGCGTGTCTCTCCTTCTTTTTCTCGTCCGGGAGAGAGCGGTAGAGATTCTCAGCGGAAAGGCGCGACGTTTCGAGAATTGATCGGTCCTGCCTGCGCGCGAGGTCGGACGCGGCGCTTTGTCACCGTTTGTGCATGTGCGATCTTCCTTCGCCGAGGATGTGGACGGAGTGACGACGGAGCTACCTGACAGGCAGAACGGGGGACACTGCGACACTGACCGGAGCGCCGTATAACGGGAGGGCCGTGAATCTCGTGTGCCGCGCGTCCCTCTCTTATCCTCTCTCGTTCGTGCACGCGTGCGCCCCGATAAGTCGTTCTTCCTCTTTCCTCTGGGTTAGGCCGCGTACCGGGCAATTCGCCGGCGAAGCTCTCTCACCGGGACGCGATCGACATCGAACGGGGTGCATCCCCGTCCTTCCGCGGCGGGGCTTTAACCGGCGAGTGGCGCCGTCCGGATCTTGCCTTCACGCCACTCGCGGCATCTTCCCTTCGGTTTCGGTCGGTCCTGTCACGGCACGGATTGTCCAGTCAACGTTCGGGGGCTTAGCGGCCCCGACGATGACGGATGACTGAATATCCATCCTGTCCTGCCGTCGTGTATCGGGGATGGCATCCCCGTGTCAGGCCGTGAATGCGCCTTTCAATCGGCCGCGTTCATCGTTGCTCTCTCGTCGTTTTCGATCGTAGTTTTCGCCGTAAGCGGCGGCGATCGATAGAAGGGGTGGCTCGCGCGCGCGCGGCCAGCGGAGAACCGCTGTTCTCCGCGAGTTCTGACTGGAGTCTGTAATGCGTTCTTGTAATCGGTCATTGATCGCCGACATTTGTACAATCGGTCGATCGATTAGACTTTGGGCACCGTGCACACCTTGAACGCTGTGCGCGAGCTGTCGCGCGCGCGCGCGATCGTTTCACTCGCGCTCCGCACGAGCATGCGCGCGACTCGCAGATTTAGCGTCAATTAGCGTTATTAATGGTTCGCTCTCGCTCACGCGCCAATTGTATCTTCTCGTTTCCTCCCCTTCCGTCGGCTTCTCTAACTTCTTCCATGACGCGTTACTCGCAACTGCGAGCGCCATTAAACCGGAAAATCTCGCGACTGATTAAGCAGCGAGAGGAGATCCGCCGCTATAAGCGCGGCGCGGCACGTCAGGTATTCGACGCTACCAATTATCCGCTTACTGGCGCTGCTGCTTAAACCGCGCGCCGCAGCTGTTCCAGCTCCCCCCCTCCCTGCCCCTCCCTCGCCTCACGGGCGCGTCGGAGCAGAAAGCCTTTCGGTTGCGAAAGCTCGCGCGCGATTTGTCACCGAACGCGAGACACTATTCTCGCGACTTGCGATTTCGCGAGTTTTTCCGCGACGCGCGTGACGCGGAAAGCGAGAGAGCGCACAGCTGCGTGGGAATTGGCTTGCTCTTGAGCGAGCAGGGCAGGGGCCAGGATATCGCAGTGCGACGAACGCACGTCGAACGTTGCTCGTTCGAGCATCGGAGGGTCCCGCGGGGACACTCTTTGACGAGCTTTGACGCGGCGTTCGCAACGACGTTTTGTTACGAAACGTTGCGCGTCGTTGCGCCGCGCCGCGCCGCCGCGGCCGTGCTGCAATAGTATGAAAGAAAGTTGCACGAAGGCAACGACGGAGTTTACGCCCAACGGAGAAAAAACTGTCGGCCGTGTGGCGCGCACACCATCGAGGGAATTGGTTTATTGGCGCCGATATAAGTGATGAAACAGCAACGTCCGCGAGCGTGCGATGAAAATCCCTGTAATGTGTATCACAGTGTATCGGTTATCGATATCAGTGGCCTGATTCTGATTTTATATAAATAGCGCCGAGGTGTATGTTTCCCGAGACCACGCGCCGCGCCGCTGGAATTGTGTTGGATTGAAACGGTCGCTTGGAATATCGATTATCGCGACCTCAAAGTAACGATCAAAGTTACGACAAGCCACGAACGACTGTGGCGAATATGTGTTCGCTTTTCTTGGAAATCCGCAGAGTCCTGCGCGACTTTGCCAAGTAAATTACGTCTGCGTATATTGCACCAACCGCGACCGCGATATATCTCGCGAGATACAATTGCGAGGCGACCGAATAAACCGACCGACGATCTTACACAATTGCAAAGTGCGCGCACGACACCGTGCGAAACACGCCTGACACGATCATTCGCGAGCTTATGCGAGCGTGTACAGGCTATTTCCCGTTGTGCTGACTTGCGGCTGACTTTCCGCGAAAGCTGATTCACCTGAAAGTACACGGCGCTGGATATTGCTCGGTGGTGTGTCTGGATGTCTACGAGCACACAACGGTATAGCGAGGGACAATCGATCATCCCTGCCTAGCGCGCTTTCCGCGAATATACGTAAAATGTCGCCTCGCTCTCGTTACGAGGCGGAATATCGAGACATGTTGAGGTGCAATCTACCGCGCTGCGAGATTGCGACCGACCGAGAAAATTATCGTCGATTTGTATCGAACGGATATAAAATCGTCGCAGAAAGAAGCTCGGTGAGAAGGTTGTTTGCGCGTTTTTTATCCTTGCCGCCGCGCCACATCATTTGGCTCGCGTTTACGGCTTGCGTCCGATCGTTTTTTCCTTTCTTTCTTTGGTGACGCACTTCACGTCGCCATGTTCAATTTCGGACTTTTCAACTGCGCCACCGACGACATTAATACAAACGGAACGGGTTTCGATTTGCAACGTTATTATTCCGGCGCGACCGCGTTCGGCCGGATTTATTAGGCACAGCGGAATTTCCAATTTCGCGCATCGCCGATAATATTAATTGGAGAGCAATCCCGAGAGAGAGGGAGAGAGAGAGAGAGAGAGAGAGACGGCCTCTTTCCCTTTTTCCGCGAGCCCGCGGTGAGTTTTCTACTTTCCCCGAAGCGCCATCCGCTTATAAAATCAACGTCATTTTGTGAGAGTCTCACGCTGCGGGAGATTTCCGCCTACGAGACTGCGACGCAGTCGGATTGGCGCCAGTCAGGGACGTATTAATGTAAGGCAGTGTGTTAAATGTACACCCCCCGTATTCAAACAACCCCACCCCATATTGTCCCGCTAAATGTTTAAAAACTTGCTGACCTCGTCGCATTTCTCACGTATCGCATACATACATACGACACGTGCTAAGTTGCGCGATACAAGGTGAGAATAGCCTGCTTGTAAAAAGCGGAAGCTTTGTTCATCTTTCTTACGGCTCGCGCGTGACGCGCGGATCCGTACTTTACTCGATAGAAAAAAACTGTGACGAATGTTTGCACACGGTACAATAAGAAAAGAAAATACTGCATATAGTTTGCAAAAAGTGGACACTTTCGACGAGCGCAAATTCAAAGGTCAAAGCGTCGCAAAAACGATTGCGTTGTAAATCGAATTACGGATCTCGCCTGATTTGCGCCTGGTTGATTGAATCGTCGACCTTTGTTATCGTCGAGAAAGAAAAATGGAGGCTATTATATATGACTGAAATGGGGATGAAATCCAATTTCTTATCGGCTCATCGGGGCGATTCGCTTCTTGAGTATAAGAGGAGTAAGGCATAAATCGCCTTGCGAAATAATGTCCCGGGACATCGGAAATCCGACGGCAAAAGCAAGTATCTTTCGTGACGAAAGCAGCTGGTCGACATCAGCAAACGAGATTTAACTTCTCGACGAACTCTATGCTTAATTCACGAAAGCAAATTGTTCCGGGTGGACGAAGGAACCTCTGACCTGTCACACACAGAGAGCGGAGGACAATTCCATTTCCGGGAGACAGTATTGCTCCAATTTCAATTAGCGTCGGATAAGTATGTCGCCGCGGCGCTTTTAATTTCCTGCGGTATCCCCTTCACATCGGAACATCGTCGACGTCGACGATGGGAGGTGGGGAGGGGGGGGGACAAGAGGGAAGGAAGGGAATCGTCTAACTTTCAGTGTGATCAAAACAACTACGAGCGTTCGCGCGGAAGGGTTCCCAAAATGAGAAATAAAAGACCCACTTCTGACGGAATCTCTCGGAACAGAAACGCTAATGGGGAGAGACACCGCGCGGCGGTTCCTGTTATAATGTTACTCGCTAATTGCAACACAACAAAAATAAGCCACTCACCTGAGCGACCTTCTCTCCCATGTTCGGTGTATGCATCGCTCCTTGAAAATACTTGGCGGATCCATTGTCTTGCAAGGAGAACTGCAACATGACGCAAACCACACGTTAATCCGGTGTTGATTATCGATTGATCGAGCGTTTCGCATAAGTAAACAATTTCACCCTGTGCTCGATAACGACCACTCTTCTCTTGTCGTGTTACGTTAAAGTAACGAGTCATACGAGACAAAGAGAATAAAAGTCGCGCACGTGGATGACCTTTGTGCAAAAACATTTGTCGATTTGACTTACTTTGTGTTTGATGGAATCCGGTCCCATCTGACTCAGAGATGGCGACTTTCGGTCCTTGGACGCCCGCCATTTCTGCAAGTCGCTTTCAGAAGCGACGCCAGGAAAGATTTTCGAATGTTTCGCTGCTACAAAAACGAAGGGCAAACGTGAGTCTTTCCAAGTCGTGTCACTAGCGAGACAATATAGTGGTGTATATTCTGTTACGTAAATATATATGTATATCGTTGATACAAAGTCTAGTTAGGTGCGAAATATAGGCTCGATCAAATCAAATCTATTCGCATTCGACAACGGAATCGTCTTTTGGAGAGAATGACGGCGGCAACTCTAATGAGCCGTTGGCGTTACATAATACATCGCTAATTGACACATTCAATGATCACGGAAGAGAAAAAAATAGACAATGTAACGCAGTAATCTATCTAGTATAAAATACAGGCACATATATACACACGGCAATATACGTGTCTCGAAGGATATAACTCTTCCGATCAAGTTTCACGACACCGTTTGCGATATACACACTGATCTAATGCACAAAAGTGTACAACAACAAAGCGATCGCGCGTAATGGGGGTTGGAACTTTTGCCGAGCTCGTTCCTTTCCATTGAGACGGAGCGTATTGGACGGGCGAAACTTTTGCAAACTCATTCGACATGGTATCCCCTCGCGAACACGTGAACACGTCGTCATTTGTGTTTTTTTCTTTCTTCTTCTAACACGACAATATTTTAGAAGCGATCAGGAATTTTGTTTGATCGCCGATCGCTTCGGCACGTTTCACGAGCAAGTCAAATAGACAAATAGACAAATAACCGAGCCTATATCTCGATCTAGAAGCGTTGAGAAGTGTGTCAGTAAACGAGTTTGTTAATCCGCACTAGAAGCTGCATACCTGTGAAAGAGAGATCGTTTTCCTTGCTTTTCTTTTTAATGATTATACATGTCACGCGAGGGCGAGTTTTTTTCTTTCTTTTTTGTTCTTCTTTTTTTTTTCTTTTTTTTTTCTTTTTTTTTTATGACGATGCGTTGAATGCTAGGTCGATGTTACTACTATTATGTAATACATGTATATGGGATTCGTCTTGCTAATGATTTGTACAATGATAAATGTCGATCGCGCCGCCTCTGCGATGGTTGCGCGCGTCGCGCGGTGGTTCTGCGGTGGATCGGTACCGTACACAATGGCACCACCGGGCGTATCGCCCGGACATGTGCCAGTGGCATTGCGTATGTGTTGAGGTAAAAGAAAGCCGTGAAAGATATCAGCCATTCTTGCTCCGCTGTAAAGAGAAGCGTAACTAAGAATTCATCCCTCATACTCACGATCAGCCGACTGTGCTCGGAGAGAGATTGCTCGACCGGCCCGTTATCGTCGAGTCACGTGACTGCGAGGAGCTTGCGAACTTTGAACGAGGCACAGGGGAACAAAAGATAAGAAAAAACTGAGCAAGACAGATGATCCGATAGCGAAAGAGATATTTTATAGACACAAAACACAGACAGAGAGGACTGATTGTTTTCCGAAGGAGCGACGTTCATTTCGAGAAGACAGACACTAAGTGTTTTGGAAACATTTATACACGAGACAAGCTCTCTGTTGCGCTAATTCCCGTGAGAGATGATCGTTGTTGTTTCGAAAACGTTAAAATCAATCTTTCCTCTCGATATTGACTCGATATACGGAGACTGCAAGATTGATCGCGCGAGATGCTGGCGGAGACGTCTGGACGGATATCTTCAGGTTCCGAGAGAGCACAGACGGGCTGATCGAGCGAGGCTACGGTGCTCATCTGATAATAGTACGGCAAAAAGTACAAAATATGGTGGGCACTCTCTTCCACGTGGAGTTGGATGCTAGCATATTGTAAATTAACGTAGTACAAGTAGTAATAGTAGTAGTAGTAGTAGTAGTAGTAGTAGTAGTAGTAGTAGTAGTAGTAGTAGTAGTAGAGTAGTAGTAGTAGTAGTAGTAGTAGTAATAGTGTAGTAGTAGTATAAATATGTTGTAACATGGTACACACAGAGCAAGTGGTGAATAATAGAAACAGAGGCCTATGAAAGCTCAATCGGACACAAGAGAGTATAGGTTATCTCTCGAAAGCACATGATAACAAGAAAGCCGCAAGCGCTTGGTAAGTTGTAAAGGGGTGCAAGCTCGCCGCCCGATCGGTTAAAGGAAACCAAGGAAGCAGGGTGCTGCTCCCTCCTGTTTTACCTTCGGTGAGATTATCGACTGTAGCTGGTCGTCGCTCGAGAGTGACGTGTTCGCTCCCTCGGCCCGCTACTAAAATAGTTTACTGAGATTTGACACTGGATTGACAGTACGTGAGGAGAAGAGTGGGAATCGCCATCGGATTGACAAAGGTGATACATAACGCTCAAGATGAATCGGGGGAGGGGGGGGGGGCGGGGGTAAGAAGGGTCGTGGCCGTTGCCATCGTAATTCTTCGATGTTGGGAGCAGCGAGAGGAGTATGGCGCATATTTACGTGAATGTTACACGATGTGGCATAGAGAGGCGTAACGCGGTGTTTTCGTCGTGTTAAATTTTCTTCCATCAGATACTCTCTCGCCTCCTTCATAATTCAAAATTTCCGTCGAAATAAGAGAAGCGTACTTTAAAATGCATTAAATCCTCTCCCGATGCCAGGTCCCGAAATCGCGCAGAGAATTCCGGCTCCTGAACGTGACGTGGTTTCAAACCTGATTTCCGGTTTTCAACACTGATTTGCGCGGAGCCTGTGTGGCGGCGACAAAATTAAACGAAACATTGTTCCGTGACGATTTGACGTTTGAATAAATCCACTTTGCGATACGCGCCAGTTACTCCCAAGTACACTCTTTATGAAATTTTGATATTATGATATTTTTTAAATTGATATTTCCCTGTACGTTTACACGCACATGGTTCTCAAACTAAAAATAAACGCGCGATCTCTGTCAGGATCTCTGGCAATCTCCTCGATCCTTTTTCTAGAGTGTACCCCCCCACCCTCGTCTGAAAATATCATTTCCCCCGATCTATATACTCCTTCCTCTTCCGTCCCGACATCAAAGAATCGTCATTTATGTGTTACCGGTAACGTTAACAACGTGACTCTTGGTCGGACGTACTCAGACGGAATTCCTGAACCAAACGCTTCTCTCTCTCTCTCTCTCTCTCTCTCTCTCTCATGATTTCCGTGTTCCAGATAAACTTTATGCTCTTGGCGAAGACACCACCGGATTATAGTATAGCAACTGCCGGTTGCTTATCACATTCCGCGTGACGACTGTGTGTAGCTACCGAGGCTCCCAAAGTGGAATCGCAATCACCAAAGAGCTCCAGACACATACAGACTTGCCTCACACAGACTTCACCTCGAATTCACCGACAATGTCCTTTTTAATTGTAGATTTTATTCCACAATTTAAAAATCGATCTTATTCGACAGAAAATGTAGCATTTGTCGAGAGAATAAGAGCTTATCGAGAAAACGGAACGCTCGACGAACGTGGGCGGATTGTAAAATTAATGCAAAATAGATTTCGGGGAATAAATGACCCGTTGTGAAACATCGGTCCTTGCGTAAACATATAGGTGAGGTACACAGTAAAGATACATTTAGATTTTCTATCAAGCATAAATCGCTAAGCTGCCCCCGCTCGTCGAGGAGAATCTCTCTCTCTCTCTCTCTCTCTCTCTCTGTCTGTCTGTCTGTCTGTCTGTCTGTCTGTCTGTCTGTCTGTCTCTCTACAGGGAATATCGTAAGAACATTCTTTCTTTTTCTTTCCGTACATCCGACGCAACCGGAGAAAGAGACAAAGCGACTTATCAATCTCATCAGTTACTATCTGCAAACATGCAACAAGAGCTCGTAGTATGTCCCATGAGCTATCGGCGTAGCTCGCGATGCAACGACACGGAAGGCCGGATGCTCGCTATCTGTCAACACTCGCGGCATGAAACGTCGCATGCAATAATATTATTATCCGTGCTACCATTAATTATTATTTAACCGCGATGTACACACAGGTGCATGGCTACACGACTCTGCCACCGCCGCCATCGCCGTCGCCGCCGCAGTCGCCGTCGCAGCCGCCGCCGCCGCCGCCACCGCCGCTACCGTCACCGCACACAGTCGTTGCCGTTATCGTAGTACACATTGCAACTATACAAACGCGCTCAAAGTTTCTTGAACCGAGGCGTGCGCGCGTGCGTGCGCCGTCGTCGTCGGAGCGATTTCCATCCCGATCTCGTTCCGATCGTCGATCGTCGAAGCGATCTATCGTACGACGTATGCGAAAGAAAGAAAGAAAGAAAGAAAGAAAGAAAGAAAGAAAGATCCTTGGAAAGTGAGCGTCGTGAGCGGCGGAACCGCGAGGCGGACCATCAATTTGTCGAACTTGTCAAGGAAAGGAGTTGGCCTCGCGCGGTTACCCTTTAACCTTTGTTGACGTAGAGAGCAGCGGTCACGACACAGCCGCAATTTGCCAAGGATAAAGCCTGCGATTATCCCCTTTTTAAATCGACTGCGCAGAATCGCAGAATCGCGGGAGGAAGACGCCCGCGTCGTTTGTACGTACAATCGCGCGTTTACCTATCTACCGCTTCCCGGCGCGGCGACGACGCGCCGCGGCCGTTTTGCGGCCGAGCGCGAATCGTTCCGCCGATCACGACTGAAATGTAACAAACACACATCTACAGAGAGGGGAAGAGGAAGGAAGGAAGGTCTTAACGTATTGTGTATCGCCGGCCGCAACGTAAAACATCGCTCCACAGAAAGCGCTAATGCCAGGTCAGAGAGAATTCGCGCGACACGTCGAGTGGGACACGTAAGTAGAGAGAAAAAAATCCGCTGCAGGGCGGATCGCGGGCGCCAACTCGAGAGCGTACTTACAGACGCTGCAGGTGAGGCTGCGGCACGGCGCCCTCGTCGTCGTTTCCGGCTTCACGGTTCTCCTCGAGATCGCGTCGAGACTCGCCGCGTGAGACACGCTCCGCGAGGGACCCTCCGCGACACCGCCCGACGACGAGTTCGGGCCATCCCAGATTCCCGACTTTTGCGACACCTGAAAGCACGAGATGAAAGCCGCGCGCGCTGGCGTTTGTTTCGTTGTGAAGAAAGAAACTTCACTCGTCGAAACGAGTCCGAGTTAATCTCTAATTGCTAATTGCGCGATCCGCGCGAGCTGTCTCTCTCTCTCTCTCTCTCTCTCTCTCTCTCTCGCGACTTGCGACTTGCGACGTTACGTGAGAGTGCGCTTCTCTTTGATCTTTGACTTCTTCTTTCATCAACGTCTTTGCGTGAAATTTCCTCAGAGAGTATTTCTACCGACGCAAAGTCCTAAGTCGGGGAAAAGGGTCTTGCGTCGACGACGCGGCAACTGTTTTATCGGGGCAATCGTTCGAGAATTCTGGATTCACATCGCGACCGCTGATCCTCGATTCGAACTCGACTCCGGCGCCCATTACGTGTCCGACGATCGCGCGCGCGCGCGCGCGATCTCATGAAATTGAAACGGAAGACGGAAGAGGTGTAGATGCGAGAGAGAGAGAGAGAGAGAGAGTGGCTTTCGGTCACTGTGTCGATGCGCGCCTAACATGTGTTCGGATCGTATGGTAGCTCATGCATGCGCTATTAACTCGACGTTGGTTATGGTCGTGCGATAACCTTTGCTCGTTCTGCAGCTACGTGTCGGTCGTATCGCTCGCAAAACTTTGTCCCGAAATTTCGGCGTATCGTAGCTGCACGTGCATGCCGAACACGCGTTAGCACTTACCGCGCGCGCGCGCGCGCGTTACCGACGTATGTTCGGAAAACGCAATTAAAACGTTCGGTCGTTTCATCAAAACTTTGCGCGTGTGCGGAACAATTTACAATTTACACGGCTAAAAATACTGTGTCAACACCGTGTGATGGACTCGTGTCTCGGACACGGTGAAACCGTTACATACATCTCGAATAATATCTTCTTCTTTCGATCGTCCCCCTTTACTTGTTTATTACCAACGAATCCGCCCCGCCGTCAAGTTTGCATCCGCCATTTCAGGAACTCCATTCAGCTGTAAATATCCTATCGCTGCATCCACTACGAGCATCCACGCGACTACCTCGCGCCGCGTTCGCAATCGGACCACCGCCACGTCGTTGGCCAGGTGGTCGGTTCGCTCGTATGTGTTATTAACACACCAAATTAGCCTCTAATTACTGGCGTTTGACCGATCAGCTGGCGAGGTCGACCGGGAAATGTCGCGCGGGTGTGATCGCGCGCGCTCGCGAAGGGAAATTTCTCCTGCCGTCTCGACCGGCAGCACTTGTTTCCGCTACTTCTGCTACTTACGTCGCTGACTCCCTCGGGACTGGCGATGGGAGCGGTGGTGCCGGGCTGTGCGACGCTCGGGGTGGTCGTCGACGTCGTTGCGGCAGCGTTGTTGTTGCTGTTCCCGACCGACGGCGGCGGTTGTAGGCCCGGCGGCGGGGGTGTGCCCGTTCTCCCAGGACCCCAAGATTCCATCATTGTGGGCGAGCCACATGTTAACGGGCTGTAAGTCATTCGGGTCAAGACGGTCGGCCGAAATCAATTAGAGGTCGCGCGAGAGCTTGATTATATTGACCGAATGTAATACGAATGATTCGAATCGAGTTTGGTCGTTTGGTGAAAGAAATTCAGACCGGAATCTTCCTTTGCGCTCGAGAGGCCTCGTGAGATTATTCTTTTTCTGCGAGAGAGGGAGAGGGAGAGGGAGAGGGAGAGGGAGAGAGAGAGAGAGAGAGAGAGAGAGAGAGAGAGTTTGCGCCCAAAAGTTACAAAGTCAAACATGCTGGGTCTCATCAATAAATTCATCGGAATTACGGGGAATCTGTTAAACGTGTAAGCTCCTTATAAATTTCGATTCTTTCGACGGTGGCGGTAAGTCACACGACCCTACGCCGCTCGCATGAAAGATTCAAGCGATGGAAGTAATTGTACGGATCTGCAACGGGGTCGCGTATACCGCGGATGTACACACGATGAAACATTCATTCCCAAAACGCGCTCGTTCCCACGACCCTCCCCAACCCTCCGCGCCCGTAGAGTTGGAACCAGTTAAAAAATGAAACAGCTGCCTTCCATTAGCCCATTAGGCAGGAAATTATAGCTCGTCGGCGAGCTGGTATCTACCCGTGATACCGGAAAATGACGTTAATCCGGAAGATGGCTCGCGCACGGGGGGGGGGCGGGAGGGAGGGAGGTGGCCGCCGGCGAGAAGTTGCATAAATCCTAAGGTTATGGCGAAACGTCGGAGGGCGGGGTGGGGGTGTGGAAGGTAGTCGATACGCGATACGGAACGGAGGTCAGATCTCGAGAGTGAAGTGTGTCAGTGTTAGGTCAGACTTGCCGATCGATAAACAACCGGCCGCGGTCGCACGGCGACGTTTGTGCGTGCGTGCGTGCGCGCACGAATACATTCGACGACGCGACGCAGCAGTCGCAATTGTTGTTATTTTGTCAGTCTAACCGTTCGCCCATCGCCGCCGCCGTCCCCGTCGCCGTCGCCGCGTCACGTCTCTATCCGCGGGTAATACCCACGTGGAATAGGCGGATGTTTGCGGGGACCTAACGCAGTCGTGTCGCGTCCTTTGTATCGTTTCCAATTTGCAGCCGATCGCGTTTGTAACGCGATTACGCGATTCGATCGGAACGGAATTATTTATCGGAGGCAAAAATGCGTGTCCACGACGATACCGAGAGGCGCTTCCGTTGAGCGAATGTGCAAACGGGCGATTGTTCACAGGCGCCGTGTTCCGGGTGCGCGTACTGCATAATGCAATGATCATCTCTGTGGTTCGCGCCCGCGGGGGGAGCCGTTTATGCGGCGCCCCGCAACTGTCCAATTAGCCACTTCATTAAATTAATTATTTTTCCTATTGTCGGATATGCGGAAGAGCATTTTCGCATCGAGAGGATACTGCCCACGGGGCGGGACGCCCTTCCCTGCCGAAAGTGTCCCTCCGACGCAATTGAATGCGCGAGCGAAAGTGTTACACGCGTGCAGTGTTAACGCTTTAGGCTGTCATTGCCGTTGTCGTTGCGCGGAAAATTTGCGCGTTAAAAGTAGCGACAGCTTGTCGGACAATGTAATTAGAAATTGCGCGTAGAGCGCACGTGTCGCGCTTCTAACAGTGCTTCACTCGACCACGACGTGACAACGTGACATTCATCAGCTCGTGCGCGCGCGCGCGCGCGCGCAGTCTGCACACTTTCGCGAGATACCACCCCGTACGTCGGCTCGCACGCTTTTAATTACCGCGCGCGCGTCATTCGGATTTAATTAATTAATTAATTCCATACGCCCAGGATTTAACATGAGATTAGTCGGCGGGTATCCGGGGTTGCTGCTCAATAAAGTCGCCCTGCTACGCCTCCTCGTTCTTCCCTCCCTCCCTCCCTCCCTCCCTCCCTCCTCCGGTCCTCCCTTCGTTAACTGGGCGTAAAAACTGCGGGCTCAAGAAGGTAACGAACACGGAAGGGGTGCACGAGGAGAAGAGGGTCGCTTAATCCGGTGGAAAGTTTACACGGATCGTGAATTGCTGAGTTGTATCTGCAAGAATTTCATAATGGCGAGCAGCCCATCCCAATTCTCTCGCCCTCTCTCTCTCTCTCTCTCTCTCTCTCTCTCTCTCTCTCTGTCTTTTTCGCGAGTTCCGTCGCATAAATCGTTAGGTGGGGGAAAAGGACGAACTCTCTCTCTCTCTCTCTCTCTCTCTCTCTCTCTCTCTCTCTCTCTCTCTCTCTCTCTCTCTCTCCCCCTCTCTCCCTCTCTCTCTCCGATGATATTCGTTTGGAAGCTGTCCAAACGTTGTTCGACATACAACTGCCGACGCGGCACGAAAGCCTCATAAGGCGTAGCGCAGACTCGTCGATACACAAAGAAAAAGGATCCCCTTTTGTTCGAGCCCTTTCGGGGTCTCGCTCGAAAACGTTCGCCGTTTCGCCGCTCCGACTCGGCGATTTGTATGCATGAGCAAAGTTGCGGCGCGCGAACGGGTCAAGTTCATCATTCAGCCAAATGAAGATGCGGCAGCCATCTATACAGTGCGGCGATAAATATCTCGCCGCTCGGTCTCTCGCTTTCTCTCGCCAACTTCAGAACTGCGTGTCGCGGTCGTTCATTTTGATTTCCTTCGGAAGATCAAAAGCGAAACGATTCGACCGTGACATTAAATAGAATTCCAGTCTCAATCTAAATCCAATTGAAATATGCAAATGTGTAGGTGATTAACAATGACGTTTCCAAGAAGAAGAAACGTCACAGACGAAGAGGAGATCAACTTTGATTTCACGAGAGCGAGCTTACCGGCGGCGTGGAAAATTTAAGCACGACTGACGGCGGATCGCGAATAATGAACGCAGGTGAACGGCATTTCGGCGGATTGACCGATGGTTTCCCGGCTATTAACTTCGAAGAAAGGAGTTATTGGCCACGGAAGCGCACAGTCGGCGGATCGTCGGCGAGATCAATGGATCTTGCGCCGATATTTATCGCGGTTATTTCACGTTCCGCGTGTCGCAAGGGGCTGAACTTTATCGCCGGATGCGATCAGCCGACTCGCGCGCGCGCGCGCGCGGAGGATTTATCGACGTTTACAGCGCCGAGGTAACCCTGACATCGATTCCCGGGCGGACGTGTTGACAGAATGATTTCGTAATACAAATAGATGCACGTACAACAGCTCTGCACTGCTCTCTCTTTTTTCTTTTCCCTCAAACGGGGGAGAAAAAAAGAATCGTTTGACCCTTTCGAGGCAATTTTTGTCAAACGAGGAGGAATTTCACGCGCGCGCGCACAAGATGGATATTTATCCTTTAAAATTGTGTGCGCTCCTCTCCACGTTTCTCTCGTCTCGTTTCTTTTTCTCATTTGTCACGCGGTGACTTTGCAGACTCGACTCGCCTTTTTCCCTCTTTTCATACAGCGCGCACGTTGGTGAATTCAATTCGTTTCAAATTAACCGGTCTCTCTCTATATTCACTTTTCGGAATTCGATACGTCGACCAACGGTCGGCTGAAAATTCCATTCGCGCAATTTTCCCGACCAGAAAAATATCAGATTGTATTCATTCGTTCGCGTGTCAATAATTTCCGCGCGACGTGTCGTTAGCGCGCCGGTGACATTTCCAGCGGAAATGGTGCGTCTGCAGTGACGATAATTTGTTTTCGAGCGAAATAGCCGCGGTATTACGGAAGCTTCTCTATACATATATCCGTCCAAGACACATCGTTCCGTATTGTCGACCGTTTTGCTGCTCTGCGACAGAAACGCAGAATACACCCGACGTCTTTTTACGCGAGACCGAATTTCTTCTGGTGTCGAATTCTGGTTTTGATCGTTTTGCGAGATTGCCCTTTGCTCTTTCGTGAACAGTGACTTTGCATTCGCACTCTGCCCGATTCTGCATTAGCGCAAGAAGAAGAGAATGAGTTATCGCGTGTTGAACACGCTGTGTAGAACAACGCGAGTACGAATTCTTTTTAATTAACGTGATAAGCGCAAAGGGTGCAATTCAGCGAAGTGAAATATATTTGTAGCAACATTTCTTTTCTTTTTGTGTACAGCTGAAATCATGTGGATGTGGCTTACTTTGAATTGATGTAACATTTTAATAGGAATATTTTTGCTGAAATTATTGGCAATATAACTTTACATCCTAATATCGCGCTTGTAAATAATTTAAAGGAACGCAAACAATGATTTAATATTCTAATGTTTCAATATACTTTATATCTGATACTTTTTCTTATTCATAATTGAGTAAAATATAGCTCTTTTACGTTTTCTCAACTCTCTATTTGGTGTTCTTCAGTTCTTTCATTTTGGTATTGCTAATTTTTTTATCACTTTATTAAGAAGATAGCAACGTGAACTTGATACCTTTCTTTTTTAAAAGGTAATTATAGTTACTCCACGCCCTCGCTAGCGACGCGCTTGTTTTCGTGCACGCTATCGTTGGGTGTGTACGAGAAATTACAGCGGAAAATAGTGTTTGCATGCTTATTGTGGAAATCAGATTCACGACGGTGTAATTAACGAACGTGACTTTTAAAAGCGCGCGCGCGTGTATCATTGTCACTGACGAAATTACGCGTAATTGAATTGCATCATAAGGGAGAAAGTCAAGTTGCCGAAGAAAATTTAACCTTATATCATTATGTTATCGCGCTACTTGATTGCGCTAGCCCGTGGCTGCTTTGTCCAGTGAAGCAAAAAACTCCAGCTACGATTTTACTTACTATGATTAATTATAGTTGTTTAACTTTTTCCCCTAATTGTCTCACGATATCCGCCACTGTGTTGTATCGGTGTGACCTGAAAAGCCGTTTTTACGATTCTTACGTTAATTAACTCCAAAGCGAACCCGCTCCATCCTTGGAATCAACGAGTGCGTGTTCTCACGCGAAGGTCTCTCTCTCTCTCTCTCTCTCTCTCTCTGCGCTGCTGCGGTGACGTGTAACACACACATACACAAACCCGTGTCACATTTCGCCGCAGAATTAGTATA